GATACCGAAGTGCTCTAATCAATGCACATGCAAACACTTAACAGCACTTTGTTTTATGCATTTCTGCTCAATTTGACTTTCATTTCCTTTTTGCGTTGCGTTCCATAAGAACGATAAAAGCTGTTAGTTATTTATTGAACACAGGAAGAAATTCTTCGCTGGCTCAGCTTGCAGACTGTATGCACTTGGATTATATATGTGGAATATGATTGATAAGCCTTAACTGAGCTTGCCTAAACGGCAACTTATATGCTTTATTGAGCAAGACAGCCTCGACCAGACCGTACTCTTCGCGGAGCGGACCAATCAGCATTCCGGGTACGGTAATTGATAAAAGTTTAGAGTGTTTTCTCGGCCACGAATGAAATTCAAGATTTGGCGGTGGAGTGGAGCACTAACTTTGTAAGACTCCCAAGTAGTACCCATATTAAAAACTTCAGATTTCAATAAAAGTTCGGAAAAAATTTATCACAGTGCTATATGCACCTAAATTATTTTATAAAGAAGTTCCAAGTTGAACATCAGTTTTCCAAGTCAGTATAATCAAAACAAAACATTGTAGAGTAGATCTTGCTTACTCTTTAAAGAATAACTTGAGAAAATACTAGGGTAGAAAGTGCTTTCTGGGCGAGAGTGGAGAAATAAATCTCAAAGCCAACTATGATTTGGCCTAAATATGCGGATAGTCTCCAAAAGGAACCTAGATGGCTAGGATTTAGTAGCTATTGTTGAGTAGAGTTTGTTCGAATTTAAATGAAATTATTATTCAGCTTGCGTAGACACGCTACTAAGAAACTGTACATAGTTATCGAGACTGACTATACAACTCCATGAGGTTTGCATCCATTCTAACCTTCCTCCTCCCCTCCCCCCCCCCTCCTTCTCCTTCCCACTTCGTCTGACAGCAATGGTTTTGAAAGTGTAATTTGATTCTAGTTTATTTCATGCACTTGATTACTAGGTTTCAAGATTCGAACGGGAAATTTCTACGATGTGGTTGTTGATAGTTTGATTTAAAAGTTTTAGTTAATGTTACCGTTACAGTAATTTATTTCGAATGCACGTCATCTCCATATCAGCGCAACATATGCCTACTTTTTTGTCCAAAGCACTTCTCCTTGCAAGGTCGAGTGCTCATTTTCTCAGTCTCAAGAGTGCGCTTTCAGCGCTGAATAACAAATGAGCATGTATATGGCATGTCACGTAGTAAATAGACTTGAGATTTATATGGAACACGGGAGCTTCCGTTGCAAACGACTTCAGGAACGGATCGCATTTGATAAATGCGAAATACTCCTGAAGAATGCGCTTTGGGAGCTGGCTGAGGTCTGTTTTGCGTCAAAGCTCTTTTTTTAGAGTCTGCAGAAGATAGAAAGATCACCTTTCTGTTGCCTATATGATAAATTACGTTCAAAGGGCGTAACGGTTATTTTTGATGCAGAATTTCAAAAGCAATATTGGACAGAGTCATTGCAGTTTTCTAGGATAATGAGTTCGAGGTGAATAAAACGTTGCAGTTCCCCCAGAAGTTACGATTGTAGGCTGTATTAGCAGTTCTTAGAAAATCTCGTCTCGACACTCTGACTTAGAAGCCCCTATGGAATAGTATGAGATACAGATTTGCCTTGCATATCTTAATTACAACTCCTAATTTGAGTGGGAAAGACGACCTGTGACGTTCTAGTTTTGACAAAACCGTCGGGACTCCAACTTGCTCAAAATGATTTTCATGTGATCGAACTTTGATATTTGAAAAGAAAACCCTACATGAGCTCGAAAAACCATTAAATGACAGAATTTACTTCCATTTGTACTTGTTGAATCGACGCGACGAGAATATCGTGGCGAGACCGTCGCGTGATCATGATTTAATTAGATTTGACTTTTTTACATTCTTAATCGTATTTTTTAGAAATAACAACAAGCCCTAGATGAAACTCGAATCAAAAATGGAGAAAAAACTGTTTAAGCGAAAGTTAATGTAGTGCGACGATTTTGTGGCGATCTTTCTGTCGGAGTAATTCAATGAAAATCCTTAGCAGTAAATCCTGAATTTCTGATGGTTTTTCGTATCATTTTAAGGTTTCCTTTCCATTATCATAACCGGATCTCATGCAAATTATTTTGATCAAAGTTATGGACACGGTTTTGTCAAGATTAATAAACCCCCTTATTCAGCTGGAAAAGACGCCCTGACACAGGAGTATGTATAGTAAGAATACGAATTATGACAAAGAAAAGCCCCATTATTTTTGAAAGCATAATTTTTGAACGCTATTGAGAAAACAAACAAAACAGGCACGATGAAGGTTCTCTAGATCTTTCGAGGCTGATTACATGAACTCATGAGAGCAGCGCATCCGAGTCGTATTCAGGCTCAACGCAAGCTGTTATTCAAAGACTTGAGTACAGAAGAACTTTCAAATCAAAGAAAATCTATGAAAGCTCATGTACTGTAATGAGTTGAATTCTTAGAATTGTAGATATAATTTTCAAAAGTCGATAATAAGTATAAATTCAGAACAACATATTACAAAAAAGCTCCACCAATTCTCAAAGATATGAGTAGCTGCAAATGAGGCTTTGAGTGAATTTGTTCATATATAAATTTCCTAGACATACAGTGAAAGTTCATAAGTGTTGTGAGGTTATTCAGTTTTGCTGGAAAAGATTCTGATTCAAATGGTAGCAGAAAAAAACAGTTTGGGACAGGACTTACGAGCCTAAATGTAAAGATCGGTGATTTTTTCAGTTGTAGTAGTGCCACCTGTTTACTTTTTTCCTTTTTTGCGGCCACATTATACATTTTAGAGGATAAACTTTTACATATATGTCAATGTTACAAAAGCAAAGTTGTCAATGTTACAAAAGCACACAGCAAAGACACTGTTTAAAATATCCATCAATATTTTAAACAGTCGACAATCGAAATCCAAAAAATCCAAAAAAAATCCAATCGACCTAAAACTCCAGGACTTCCGATATTCAAGTTAGTGAAAGAGAGCCAAGAGAAGGAAATGAGTGCAGGTTTGAGATGCAATTAGTTGTTCTCGTTCGACTAATTGCAAGAACTTAGGCCTCCTTAAAGAGAACAAGGAAGTTCGAAATTAATTTGAGGGAAAATTTAAGTATGCAACGTTTTGCTCTTTGAGTTACACTTGAACCATAGAAATGCTTCGTTTTTTTCTGATAAAAAGAATTTTGAACTCAGTTACAATAAGTAATTTATTAAGGTTCCAAAAGTTTTTCTTTCTTTCTAGGAACACACAGCAAAGAACAAAAGCCTAAAATTTGGCAGAGTGCTAACATGATTTAAAACTGAATTGTAGAATGTTGAATGTGAAAAGTCATAGTGCAAATCGAATGCACGAGGGATTTGCTCAAACAAAGCACTTTTTTCCCAGCTCAAATAAAACAAAATCAATCAAGTGCCCTTTGTTGGGCTCTCAAATCTCATTAGGCTTAAGTGCAGATAATCGTATCTCTAGAGTTCAAATCAAAGGCAAGGATTGTTATTTTATTGAAAATGTTGTGAGCCTTGAGTTTTAGAAAATTGTTGGTATGAAGAATGCAGCGTAATTTTTCAGAATATGAAATTTTAGACAAATAGCCTTTCGAAGTCATTTTCCCCTAATTTTTTACTGGAAGAATATCATAGATATTGTAGATGAACTTTGAATTCATCACTTGCAAAGAACCGTAAAAGAGGTGTAAATTTAATCATAAGAAGATTGGCTCGAGATTAGCATAGAGCAGTGCGAATTAGAATACATATTGCAGTACGTTATACTCATAGTTTGTAGCCGAAGCAGTTTCTTGAAAGACTCTACTAATTACATTATGAAGTGCTATAGTAAGCCCTTGATCCAAAGAAAGTTTAATATAACTCTCTTTACAGAGATTCTTTTATGCTGAGATATTCACTCAAGCTCTAAGGTCATTGAATGGTGCTGTGCACAATAAATGCAGAGTTAAAGTAGTGTAATGAAAACCTTTACAACATTTCAGTAGCACACAAAGACATATCTGCACCAAATAGAAGAAAAAGACAAATCCGACGTTAATTGGAAATCTCTCAATATATTCGTACTTTTTACATTCAATTTCGCAGAGGAAAATAAAGACAGACAAGCTTTCAATGTTGCATTCTTAGGACTACGCATAATGTAGACTAGTAGGCGTAATTGCTGGTTTTGAAGCTATTTTGAATAAAAATGATAAAAGTTCAAACTATCTTAGTAGGTGCGGGATTAGAACCATAAAAGTTTGAACATGTATTTTGCAGTCGAGCAAATTCTTTTGTTTAAGCAACTGTGTGCGCATTTTTCAAAATGTACCGCACTGGTCTAACAGGAAATAAAATTTTCTGTAAATTTAATTCTGCCAGCATATTTTTGGAGAACAAAGGCATTGTCAAAAGCAGGAAATCAAAAGTGAGTGATCGAGAATCGTGCTCCAAGCACTTGCATATTTATTGCGAAATCTGCCAGTTATAATATACTTTCTGTCGTATTTAGCAGGCTTTTTACTTAGGTAACCTAGCTCCGTTTTTCTGAAGGTTTTTCCAAGTCCGACTTGTTGCCGAATAATCACCAGAGCTTGGCAGTGGCTTATAGGTAAGCTGGTTATCGTTTTTTGGACAAAACGCAAAGGGGATATAGTTTTTGTGGATACGAAATTTGGTTTTTTAGCCGGCGTTTCGTCTTTTAGTCAATTTGAGTATTTCGAGTGAGGGTCAAAGAGGACTTCGTAAAATTTCGCAAAAGTCAGGGGACTTCATTTTTGCTTTTTGGAAAGCCATCCCATGCCGAGCTCTGATAAGCACTGTTTGTATTTCGTGCGCATTGGGCAAAAATAGCGACGGAATTTTTTTGCTATGTTCTAGAGTTTGATTGTCCTTGATGGTCTGATACTATAGATAACCGTTTGGCTTATGCTTTTATTCCAGTCTGAACCCTTCGAATAAATATAGCAACGATCTGACAAAGAAGAGAACTCACGTGAGATGCTCATCGTCGAAGCGCTTTGAGGTACAGTGACACGGATCTGAGGAAGCGAAGTTGGCACCTCTGTAACAATTGTAAACTAAAAAATTCCTGTAAACTACAAAGCTTTATACCAACTAGGTGAATAAATGAAAAAAGGGTTACCCATGAAACATTTCAATGATAAATCATACATTCAAATGCATAAAATACTCATGTTCAGTAGTGTTGCAAAATGATGCGATTTTGTGGCCATTGTATATAAGATTTTGAAGTTAAAAAAGAAATTTTTTTATCATGAATCCTTCTCTTGAAATTATATCTAGCTATTCAAGTAGTCTGAGGCTTAGTTTTTATATGAAAATGAATTAAAGTTCAGAAAATTCAAGAATTTTATGAAGTGTTCTAGTTTATGGAATGGAGTTGAAAGACACCATTATTGTATGCAGTAATACAATATTGAATATGCAGCTGAGCACCTGAGTTATCGGAAGGTTTTGAACACTACACACAGTTTCCCACGAATACTGACTGACTCAGGATAGACTTAAAATGGATTTTTCTTTAGGAAGTTCCCTATACTGCTATTAAATTGTCTCGAAAGTAAACTCCTTTTTGAAATAATTTAAGCTGTCCCTGTCTTCGTAGCAGACTAGGGTAACATTTGAGTTAGGCCCCACAAAATGACAGCCGAAAATCCGCCTAAGTCGTAATCCTGGTAAAATTTGAAGTCAAAATCAAAATTTTTCTGGTAGCCTAAGAATCGTCTCCCTCCAGAAAATTCTTACCGATTTCTAATATGGTTATTATACAGTAGATACATTGTAGTACCCAAACATGTACTTGATGGATATTTTCCGGAGCTCAAAACTGAGAAATCAAAATGACCCGGAAGTGCAAACATGTCACTTATTCGGTTCTTTATGTTAAACTTGGTATTTTTCAATTATAAAAATACAAGCGAGTTAAAAATCTAAGATTATACCTAAGGTTTGTTGTATACAATAAATGCATATACATATGGAAGGGGCCGGGGCGGAGTTAGCCATTTCTGGATTTCTTTTCTCACTTTCTATGCAGGTAAAGAGTCAGTAAAGTCATATTTGAGAGATACTACGTGTCCACTGTACAATGACTAAGTTTGAGGCCAGTAGAGTTTTTTCTCGCAAAAATCCAAATTTCAAGTGATAAATTTTTTTGATTTTGGCTCCTAAATTTACCTGGATTACGACTTAGCCAAATCTCTGGTAGTCATTTTGTAGAGCTTGCATCGCTCTATCAAAAGGTACCTGAGTCTATTAGGAAAACAAATGCTTTTTATAAAAAAGGTGATTGGGACAGCCTTATATTAGGTTAGTTTTCTCATATTTTTTCTTGTATTAGTTTTGTCGGTTTTTCAAACCACTATAAAACCACGCACAGTAAAGACTTAAATGAATCTCAAGATGCAGTAGATGCAGCCTTTCCTTCTCTTTCTTGTGGACACTTTTCCGAACCGCAATCCTGTATGCTACTGTTGATAATTGTTACAATTCTTCACCCGTCATTTTTATCTGCTCAGTTAGGCTAATTTTCAGAAATTTCATTCCATAGTTCTGGAAAGGATTAAGTAAGTAACAGATAGGGCAATTCTGGGACTTCAGCTGATATTTTTAGAATCTCCCAATCTGCTCTTTTTAACTTCAAATTATTTCTTAGAGGCCCTGATTTGTGGCAAAGTCATGAAACACGGAACTGCAGCAAAAACATGAAAGCTTTTGTGTTTGTTATTAAACGTGATTTATGCAACATAACCAAGCTTGATTTGCTCAACCAGGTTTTTGGAGTTTTCGGTAATCTTACGTGGTAAACGTATTCAAAAAGCAGCGGTTTTTCTCAGATAAATAAGTAATACGGACTTGATAAACGTGGCCCACGTAATCTAAAATTGGTCTGATGTAGCCAAAGGATTGCTCTATATAACAGCCATTAGCGCTTTTTGAAAACATCAGGATAACAATTTTTAAAATTCAGGAAATATGGCGCTACTGCTGAGATGCTCAAAAAGCCATGGAGATAACATCTCAAATATGCGGGTAGATCAGAGAGCAAATATAGCTACAACAAAGAGGATAAAAATCTGAACAGAATGGTACCTAGGTCGTTCATGGATTGGTGTTCTGTGAATTTTGGTGAGCGATGGAAAAAACCGACAAAACTTTCGGAACAACCTAATATGTTGACATTATAAGTTGTAAACACAACCTGTGGACGTTAAAACTTTCAAACACCAAACTTTCACAAAGCAAGATGCAAGCGCTCAAGTGAGCGTGGCACAGAAGAAATTGTTGATATGACTAGCACGTGGTCTCTTTTTACTTTGATTATTATATGGCTATAATACTTAGCTTCTATCATATCCGGGATAATCGTAATCGTTAAACCAAACAGCCTTGATCACCGACCAGCACTTAACTAGAATCTTACACTTCCGCATAATGGCAAATCTTATTTGTTATCATTTTGAAGCATACTCTTGCACTTTAGCTTGCTTATATTAAATTCATTATCACGTTAAAGGCCATATGAACGTACGTATTCGTCGAAAAAGCTCCTCATTTTGATTGCAAAGAGATTTTACAGTTTTAGATGGCGCGATCACAATGCGAATATGCTTCAGTACAAATTCATAACAAAAATTTAAAAGTCACTATACTGACGTCAATTGCTTGCTAATGAGGTTACTAAAATAAAACAAGATTGACTTGCGTGTGATGTTGTAGCAAGCTACATTTTGCTCCTGATAGCTTGTCGGCACTCAGGGGATCTACAGCTCAAATTATAAATCTTTCTTCTGGTTCAGAGCGCAATGTTTTTACGATATTTCGAAGAGCTCAGATGCGCTCGGCAGCAATCAGTTCAGTTGCAGAAAAAACCATTATAATTAAACCATGCATGCTTTTTAAATTCATTTCACTGAAACCACTTTTTCTGCCTTCTGATGATATTAGTCGATTAGATCTTGTGCTTCCTCACTTATCGTGTGCAAGCATAGCCCAAGCAAACCCAACTTTAGGTGGCCCTCCCACCCTCCCTAACCGCCACCGCCTAGCTACGGTGATGCGTTTCCATAGCTTTTTCTTAGGGGTCATTTCATACAATTTTTCTAATGCTGTTAACATGCTGGTAAATTGCAATTTTTGGGTGCATTTCTGGATGGAGGTTACTAAAGACTACTCAATGCACCCTTCGGAAGCTAGAGGTGGTACCCAAACAATTAGGATAAGACAGCATCCAGATGAATCGTTTACGTGGACTCCTTATATATCTACTGAATGGGATGTCTTGAATGAGCTATAGCCCAACTGGCAATCCATATAACACATCGTTGCCCGAGAGCGATACGCGAGGACAGTGATTGGTTTTGTCGGAAAGACTACGGTCTGGGCAAGGGAAGCAAGGCTTTAATGACTTCTATGAGTTGCTGTTTGAGCAATGAGCTCTTCAGGAACTTAACTAAGAAGTCCTAAAACTTATAGTTTCTTGTGTATTTTCTTCAATATGACATTTTTTATCTTACAAAAAGATATAGCTAATCGTGGGTTTCCGAAGAACGGAAATTAAGGTTCAAGCAAGCAGATATCCTCTCAAGATACCCTAATTGCCTGATAATAATCCATATGGCGCAGCTCAAGTGCCATGTAATTTGAGCAGAATACCTGTAATATGTGAGACCAATGAACGAGCGAAGATCAAATTACTTAACAAGCATGAGGGGATTAGCACGATCAGCCGTGGATTAGGGCCGCTCTAATAAAGCCAACTCAGACATGTGATCGTCAAAGCTCTCTGAATATGCCAAATGTCTCGACAGATCGGATTTCTGGTTAGGGAGATCTACGCCTTATTTAAGCTTTTCGTCGTTCTCCTCAAATGAGGGTCTATAGATGAAATCGGAAGGTACTAAGGGAAATGAATAAGGATGGATTGTTGAATGATGAAGACAAGGTATAGTTTCAAAAAATGACCAAAGAAGTCTCTTTTTATGTGATCATCCGCCTTGAACTTTTTATGCTCGAAAACAGAACAAAAGAAAAGACACTTTGGCAGCTTTTAACTGTTATGTACTATGGAAAGCTATTTTGAAAATCAACTGTTTTTGCTCCGATTCGTTCCTGCCCTTAGAAGGAGCACAGGAACTTCGGCCTCTCCCCGGAACTCCCTAGTAAGGATAGAGAGCCCGTGAGCCTGTATTATTTTCATATCAAAAGTTTTTGATGATTTGCCAAAATTGATGTTGCGTAGTGAATTTTTGTTCTCAGAGAATAAAAGTATAAGCTCACCGAGTGTGCCAAAATGAATTACTATCAACAAACTGAAAATATTTTTCTGTGAAATAATTGCCAACCCAAAGTGATTCTTCCTACAGAAGCTTTAGAATCAAAGTGACTAGCGGGAAGATATCGTATGCCAAGGCAAGTAAGCATGTGTATGATTGAAAGCTGAATAATGCAAGAATAAATGGGTTTATTGTGCCCAAATTGTCTGGGCAAGTTACCTGGAGACCAGTGACAACATTTGCACTACTCAGGGCAAAAAAGTTGTAAAAGTTGTTTTTCGCAATTTCCACGTACAAATCTAGAGGTCTGAATTTAAAAAATTTTTGGTTGAAAGATCTTTTGCATAAAAGGTCAGAAACCCAACATTATACATCAAAATACATATACGTCATGTATAACACCACAGCGGTGGCGTACCCAGGATTTCCGTTTGGGTGGGGGGGGGGGACAAAAATTTCAATCCGATGAAGGGAGTGGCTGGCCCACCCATAAAATTTTTTTTTCATAAGGCTAAATTGAATTTTTGAAATTTCCGAAATTTTTTTATTTACAAGTATGGACAAGTCACTTGTACATTTTTGTAACTCCTGTAAGTACTTTTGCCCCCCCCCCCCCGCCCCGCCCCTTCTCCGTTACGCCACCGCTCCACAGGTACATAGAGCATACAATCAAAAAGCAGAAATTTGTAGCCTGAACATCGAGGCAAAGCTAGCCAGAAAATTTATACCAGTTTCAAAATAAAGGAAAATCCGGCTTGAAGTAGTG